CCAACACCAATACTACCGCAACTGCTAGCGCTACTGCTGCTACTACTGTTAGTCTATTTTTAGTATTACTGTTAGTACGATGACTGCTACGACAACAACGACTGCTGCGACACTGCAATTACTGATGCCTCGACTACCGACACCACCGGCATCATTTGTAATGTCCTTTCAAGGCATCAGCGTGGACTCGGCTATTGAGGCCTGGAATTCTGGCTCCTTCTCTCGTAAGCAGATCATGTATCAATATGTATGAATGTTTCCTGAACGGAAGGGTTTTCGTAAGCTAGGTTATACAGGTATAGACATGTCTTGCGCCAGGTGGACTCCGACATGGACGAAGAAGTCCTTTCCGCCACAGACTCTCCTGTTGGCGGAGTTCGGGCCATAGGTTCCTGAAGTACAGGCTACTGCTATTCAGCTATGCCTCATTATTGCGGTTGCCATTCCTTTGTGTTCTGACCTTGCAATTAGTACCAGTATTCCTTTGCCTACGTGCAGGAAGTACCTCAAGCAGATCTGTTACATTGCGTTTTCCCAGTGAGCTCACATAAGTTCACAGCATGACAGCAAGCGTGGAGTAATGATGCATACGGCTGCACAAAAATTCCTTTGTCTTTTTATCATCAATGCCACAGTCACCGTGCTTACCGCCGCACTGTCTACTACCACCACCACCACCACCACCACCACCATCACCAGTACTAGTCCTCCTCCTCCTACTGCTACTGCTACTGCTGCCGCCGTTGCTGCTACTCATCACGTGGTGCTGCTGCCTTTGCCATGACTATGACATTCTAGTTGAACCCGTCTCTCTGTCATGCTTGAGGTCATGCCCGGTCAACTTGCAGCAGGCCGGGAAAGGTCTTGGCAAGAGAGACATTGAGTATCGCACGGGATTTCTGAGGATTGAATGTGCTTTTGTTTGGATGGTATTTGAAGGCTCATGGGACTCAGCAACGACTTACAACTGGGCTTAGAACCATACTTATATATAGTTGTAACCTCCCTAGTTGGACCTATATAGGTTACCCCAATTACAAACCATCAAATAGAATTCCTGTGTTAGGGTTTTTCCTAGAATCCATGTCTGGGAACCCTGCCTTGGGACTCAAGTATTTGAGGGCACGTGTGCCGGCATCGATGCTGGCAGGCAGAGTAGTGTGATTTGCAACACTGGCCTACCATCGCCGCATAATCACTGCACCTATTGTTGATTGATTGATTGTTGTTACTACGAGCATGAAGCGGGCATCGTGCTGGCAGTGTCATTGCTAAGCAGAACGGCACAAGCTGTGCGGCAACATGGACAAGCACTGTGGCTAAATCCGATCCGACTCTGACACTCTTGTTTTGCGTGCTCACGATTCGAGAGCTGCGTTCGAGATATTGTGATGTTGTGATATTCGCCTGTGACTGGCAGCATCCCATCACTTGCTCAGTGGCGCTTGCTTACTGGGGGTGAGTAGGGAATCAGGGAATATATCTGACAAATGCCTAAATTATTCCTACATCAAGATACAGAGGTATACTGAGATTGTATTCCCTTATTCCCTACTAAGAACCAGTAAGCCAGTAAGCTTGGTGGTTCGCTTTGCAGGCCTCGCAGAGATGTGCTCTGGAAAGGAGCCTGCTCTTCAGGGAAGTTGGGAGATGAGGTGATGTCTCAACCTTATGGTCAATATCTTGCGGTAACTTAGGGGTATTTTTAGAGGGGACATAGGGGTTATACAGGAATATTACAGGGAGAAATCGTGTTTAGGGTTTGCCAAAACTAGGGGTACCTTTTTTTGGGGTCCACTTCCTCTTATTTTGGGAAACTGCCATGTCTTGCGATTCTTTGCATTGCGGTTCTTTTGCACAGGATTCTGGCTTTTGCGAAGGATTGCATGCCATGGACAATTGGAGAAGCTAAACGTGCTGTGCTTTGGACTCAACCATCTCTGGCAATGCGCTTCGCCTGATCGCCTTGCTTCGACTTTCGGCTCTTTCGCAAGCAAGTACTTCGATTGACTCCTTTGCTTGAATGAGTGTCAAAAAATACATCTACAGGCACAATTTGATATGAGTCGCAGCAGAGATTTGGGGTTAAAAACATCAAGCAGGCAGTCATATCATGACATACACAGCCTTCTAGGGACATGTGAGAACCTTGTATGGTTTGTACTAGGTCACGAGGTGGAGCCTTTGGCCTTGCGGTGCGCAACGGGCCAGCAGTAAGCTGTGCACCTGGTGTGGACACCATGGTCGAGGCCAGAAATTCATTATTTCAGGGGCGGCAGCACAGCTTCTTGAAATGTTGTGGTCCCTTACAGTGATGGAAAAAAGATTCTCTAACTCGGTGAAGCGAGAATGTCTTCAGAGGCATGATGTGCGCTCTGAATATCATTCGGTCATCAGAGGACGTCAGCGTGGGCAGTCATGAATAATCCTGCCTTCTTTTTCTCTTTGGCAGCGAGTCGTAGAGCACTGGTCGAAGAAGCGGAGCCAAGGTTGCAGATGATATTTCTGCAACGAACCAGTGCTGGCACGATGTACGTCATACTTTGCTTGGGTAAGGGGACCATGGCTTTCTCACGGAACCTGGCTTTCGGCCCGAACATCTACCAGCCCGTACAACTACTTACTAGTCTAACATATTCTAACATTGTTGTTACTACGATTTTATTGCTGCGCGGGTTGTTCCGATCGCCATCACCAACTTTCTGCAAGGTGTTTTTG